GTAGGGACTAGGGAGCTCCAAATTTGTTATAATATACTTCACATTGACATTTTGGGATAAAAGTTTTCAAAATTTAGTTTCTAAGTTCTAACAACCCCATTCTCAACAGTTTGCTGTATACATCTAGTATTATAATTTATTAGAGCAACAATTTTATTGTTCTTTTTTTGCCAGCCGCAAACCTGTCAATGATTTTTTCGATGTCAATACTTATGTCTCTATGAGTATTGAGTAAAGCTAAGCCAGTTAATCTTTCCTCACCCATCCGTGACCTCATCCACGTTTTTAATCTAATAAACAAAGTAATAAGCAAAATACTATAAGCAGGAAATCATAATATGGTTATCAGTTTGGCTTTGGCAGGAAAGTTATAGGAAGTAAAATTGCTAAAATATACACAAAACAATTTTAAATTTACATTAATTTTTAAAAAAAATGCTTTAAATTATAAATGTGGCAGTTTAAAAAAAAAAATTTTATTATAAGCTCTTTTGTGATTTAACCTGCGTAAAGTAGAAAAACTACGTTCAGCAGAAGCAGTACTTATTGGCAAAGCAGCAAGAATAATAAGCAGTGACTTTATTGTTGGATAAATTGTTTCACAACATTCTTCCAATGCGTGAAACACATTTTCCGGTACAGATTGACCTAAAATACTCAAATTCGATATTATGAATTTATTCGAAGTAAGATTTACTATTTATTACCTTTCAAATCATAGCTATGCCATTTTTGTATCCATAAATCAATTTCCGACATCAATAGTACATCACTAACTTGAAGAAATGTGTAACTAGTTTTAATTTTCTGTACCATAATATTAGTGCTAATAGTGCTATTAATATTCTGAGACCATTTAGTTAAGTTTTTTGGAATAAAATATGTCAATGTTTGAATTGTCTGGTTTTCCTGGCCATAAAACCTTCGTTTTAAGTCTTCAATAATACTATCCAATAGAGGAATAAAAATTGTTATTTTATAATAATCTTCACAGTTATTGATGTTACTTGGATTTGGTCTATTTTTTTGATTAACGTTCAGTCTAGGTAATTTTATTTCTACATCTAATTGGTCCATTATAGATTTGCATTCAATATGAATATTTTTAAATACAATATCACAATCAAAACGTTTTTTTTTTCCAATATTTTCACTATATCTTCCACTACATTACTTGCCGATAATATATCCTGATTCTTCCCTTGTAAAATTTTACTTGCGTGATAAGTTACAGAGAGAACTGATGATAAAGAAAATATTGATATTATAAATTCACAATTGCACAATGACAATATTAATGTTTTTGCTTTAGATGCAGAGACTGTGTCTTTTTTGTAACCTTTTTTGTATCATTTATTAAGCTTGAAGTTATATTTATGACTTATGAATTTCATATTCTATGATTAATGAATATAATATATAATTCAAGTAAAAAAAAAAAGCCCAAGGGGGGGGTAATCGCCACGTCGCCCCCCCTCAAATCCGCCACTGTAGGTAGGTACCTAATATTCTGGTATTACGATTTGTATTACTCTGTGACTCGATTTATACTAAAAAGGCTTAGCCGCCCTGAATCTTAAAGTTAATTTGTTTGTTAAGTTAAATAATATATAACTGATAATATTACATATTTTGTGTTACCTTTTTGACTTAATCCTAATTGAATATTTTACACTTTTTGTGTGTTATTCATGACATTTTGATATTATCTTCAAGACCGCAGTTGGAACAAATTTTCGTGAGAGGTTTAAAACTAAATTATATATTTTCATGATCTAAAAACCAATTAAAAAAGAAATTTATATATTATAATAATTATATAAATAATGTTTTTTATAGATAGCCTACCTACATGTGTGATAAAATGTGTATTTTAAATTAAATATTTTTATAGTATAAAGTCTAATAGTTTTTTTGCGAAACAATCGTCATCTAGATTAATTTAAATTTGTCTATGCGTAAATATTGTAAACTAATATACACTCAAAAGAGCTAAACGTGTAAAGGCCCTGTCACAGTATCACACACGCATCCGATCCGTCAGGGCATCCGTGTACTAGGAAATACGAACTTATTGTTTTTCAATGGATATTTTATTCATACTCATCCGAGCTGAATCCGGTCTGAGCTTTCTGAGATCACTCCGATGAACTTTATCTGAAGAGTTTCGTTAATAGTTTTATTTAATCTTTTCATGGTAGAAGATATACCTACGTCCTAGTGATGAGGTCGTAACTGGTAATGTATCTCATAGTTTCAAAAGAAAATATATAATTGGAAAAAATTCATAATTTAAAATTGAGAAGTTGACTTCTCCCAACTAGCACTTTGCTTTAGAAACTTAAAAATTTCACATATAGATATTTTGCTTGGAAATGTTCAGAATTCGCATAGGTACCCTTGGCATTTTACCAGAAGGCAGAAATCATATTGTTTTAGTGTAAGTATGTATTATCATAATTTTAGAACTACCACCAGGGGCGTCATTTCAACTTTTTTTTTGTTGGTGCCAAAAAGTTTGCAGGCCATTCAAATCATTACCAGGCCACATATTTTATTTTTATTTTTGAAAGGGAAAGGGGTCAAGTAGGGACAAAAACTGTAGAATATTTGGGCGTATGTAATTTGCTCCAAAAACAAAAAAAAAAAAAAAAACAAATATGCAATTTGCGCCACATCTAAAATTGTATTTTGGTAATTTGCGCTACTTTTTAAGTTTGTAATTTGCGCCAAATGAAACTAAATAAAAAGGCAATATGTAATCTGCAATATGTAATCTGCTACAAAAGTTGTAATTTGCGCCATAGTTCACCTTATTGAAATTGTAATTAGCGCCACAAGTAAAACGAACTCCATGTATATTAAATACCTAAGTAAATTTTCGTTTAGTAATAAAACATATAAAAATCAGTCATATTATAATTATAAATAAAAGTATACAAGTAAAACGAATTCCATGTATATTAAATAAGTAAATTTTCGTTTAGTAATACAATTTTTGTAATATAACACATAATTTTTGAAATAAAATACCTAGCTAGGTACTTATAAATTATAATACCTAGCTTACTCACGTTTTTTATATTTATAGCTTGATGATGAAACAAAGCATTTTCTGTAAATTTTATTTTGTCTATAGTCTTCATATATTTGTTGAAAAGTTTCCAAACGAATTTTATTTTTAGTAGAATTTCGTTTTTTAAGATGTATACTTTTAATTTTAATCAAAGTTTAGGTTTGAAATCTTTTCAGTATGTCCAAAAAGTAATCGGAGATCAATTACGTCTAATTACGTCTCTATTATCAGTAGAACACAACAATATTATATTGGACACACGTCGTTACGTATTATTGTATATCCTATGCGATATCAGTAATTATATCTGCTGGTAAATTCCAACAATATTGAAGTTGAAAGTGTGGTGCAAGTTACATATTCCATTTCGTTTTCTGTCGTGGCGCAAATTACCAAAATTAATTTGTATATGTGGCGCAAAATACATATTATACCTATTTTTATATTTTGGTGCAAATTACATACGCCCTTAAATGTACCTTTTGATGGCGCAAATTACAGGTTATTAAATTGGCGCAAAATACCATCTCCCGAATATTTGTATACTTTATTTAATATGTCACTTATATTAGTATGAAAATATCTCAATATTGTTTCTATTTTTGACGAACTATGTGTAAGTATACTTTTAATGTATTTATTTTATATTGTGAATATCAGTGTACAGTGGTATTAGCATTTGGTAAATAAATGTATTGGTATATAACACTTTATAGTAAAATACCTAACTGAACCTAACCTACACATTTTTTCTCTCTGCATACTCAAAATATATAGTAGTAGCTAGTTAGCTTAATAAAACCAGAAATTTATTTTATGGGTACCTTTCTTCACAATATTTGTGTCATAATTTTATCAATTATAATTTTGTGGGACCACAAAACCACATCAAAAATTCTTGGAAATTATTAGTGCAATACATTTTTTTTAATACTGAAAAAAAATATAAAATTAAAACACATAGGTATATCAGCGCTTATATTTATTAATGGCAGGCCAAAGAAGGAGTTTTAAAAAAAGTTGGTGCAAATGTACACCCTGCACCCCCCCCCCCCCAAATGACGCCCCTGACTACCACTGAAAACCAAGGATAGGTATATGCAGATTCTGAGTATCCTTCCAAGTAAAATTTAGCAAATTAATTGCACAATATCTTTGCAGTTTTTAAGTTTCCTGGTCAAAGAGGGAGGAGGGAAACTTTACAGATATATTGTGACCTTTATCTAATCTGCAGAACAAAAATGAATTTCAATTTTAATTCGTATTAACATTGATTTTAGAATATTCTAAAATCAATGGTATTAAAAAATCTATAGTTCTACTGTCAAAAAACCATAACAGTTTGTATTTGTTGGTATTGTTCTAAATAATAACATTGTACAAAAAATAATTCCATTAAACAAAGGGCTTGTTGAATAATGTTCATGAAAAATATTGGTCTTGGTAAATTTTGTTCTCATATGAATTTTCCAGAAAAATGATTTTAAACCGTTTGTTGTAAATCGTTATCACACCGTTATCTTTGTAGGTTATCAATTATTATTATACCTGCCGACGGCATTGCCGCAGCCGACCACGAATTAGAATATTGGTAATATTTTTTTTTTAAATATTTCAGTCTTCAGTGCCCGACATAACTGATTAGTGGTTTACACTTCACTATATTTTAGTTTACTGCTAGTTTAGTATTTTACAGTGCTATAGCATAATAATAGCAATTGGCTATTATCTCATACCTGTCGGCACTCGGCAGTCCACACTCCATAGTAAGTTCAAGTTCCTCAATCCATATAATTAATATTTAATACCCATATGATATTATATTATTTTGCTATTTCAGTACGATTTCTGAATCGTGTGCTTGTGAAACTCATTAGCCACTGTCGTTTGATCAATTATTCATTTTGTACTACTTGTTCGAAAAATGTGCCGTTGTCTGTTGTCCAATCGTCAGTTAGTGGCCACTGTTGGCCGCACTTATGACGTTTTACGCAGTCATCATCGCCTCCAACGGTTCTACTCGAACAGAAACGTGTTGAAATTATACGAACGACAAATCATACAAAACATGTTTCCCGATAATTCTAGGTAAAAATTAAGTAAAGAATTAAATGTGTGTCCATGTGTGAACAGAAGATGTCCGAAGTCATAATCACTTTGAATTTAATTGTTTACACTGAGTGGTATTTTAACAAAAATATTGTACCATTATTATTATATTCCAGCAATGAAATAATTGATTTATTGACAAAGAGAAACCAATGTGTTTATGCTGGATTCGACCCGACAGCGGACAGTTTACATATAGGAAACTTACTAGTCATTATAAACCTATTACATTGGCAGCGTGCCAACCATAAAGTTATTGCATTAGTCAGTCACTAATTATTTTTTTTTATGAGTGGTTTTACAAATTGTTCACAGTTATATTTTAATTTTTAGATTGGTGGAGCTACAGCCCAAATAGGTGATCCAAGTGGAAAATCAAAGGATCGAGATAAACAGTCTTCGCAGATGTTATCTCATAACATTAAAGGCATTACCCACAGCTTACAATCCATATTTGACAATCATGCAAAATACTTATGGAAACAAAAAGATCCTCTACCAGAGCCAATGTGAGCATTTTGAGGTACTCTTGTTACTTGCCTTGATTTTTTCACTAAATTAATTTGAAATTAATAGCTGAAGTTTTCTTTTTAGCAATATTGTAGTGGTATACCTACTTTATAAATTTATAAACTTATTAGATAATATTCTATTTTGCAAGAGCAATTATTAAATAATAAACATTTATACATTTAAAATGATTATGATAATTTTGTGTTTCTAGAATAATTAATAACATGGAATGGTATGAAGGTATTGGTGTCATTGACTTCATGAACAATATTGGCCGACATTTCAGGATGGGTACCATGTTGTCTAGGGACAGTGTTAAGTCTCGTCTATCTGGTAGTGGGATGAGTTTTACAGAGTTTACTTACCAGACTTTTCAAGCTTATGATTGGCTACATTTGTTTAAAAAATACAAATGTTTATTTCAAGTAAGTATGACTTTAATATAAAATTTTGAAATTTTATAAAAAATAATTAAAAAAAATAAAATTTTTATTTCATTTTAGATAGGAGGAAATGATCAAATGGGTAACATTATGTCTGGTCAAGAACTAATTAGTCGACAAGAAAATGCTAAAGTTTATGGTAAAGTAGTTGTTTTTCATAAGTCATGAACAGGGCTAAGATTTGTATGCAATATAAAATTGTAAAATATGCATTTTATTTACCACAATATGCAAAAATATGCATTTCAATTATTGCAAGATAAACTCAAAAATATAATTACAAAAAAATATTTATTGAAATACATCAGTGATTGGCTGTTTGTCTTAGTATATTATTATTGAGAAATAATATGTATAATTCACGATGCGCGGACAGCTAAATGGTCTGTACTACGTAGGATTATGTGTAATAAACTAATACCCGACAAATTATATCTTATCTTGGATTTTATATTGACTTACATACTTTTATTAACTGTGTTTATAGTCATGAATTCTATACATTGTTATGTTATTTAGAATTATTATTTAACCATGGTTTAAATTATAAACTATTAAAACATATTTTTTTTGTACAGATTGCTCTGCTCTATCTTTTATTCTATGTGACACAAATTTTGTAACTTCACTGAGTTTAGAACTGACATAAAACCTTTAATATGTTATTATTCTTGCTGGATGTTTTTATCATTTTAGCATATTATAATATGATGTTGAATTCCTGTTATTAGTTTTATGGAATTGACATATTGTTAATCTTTTTGTTAAGTATAATATAACTTTTCTGAATATTACATACCTATTATGTAAATTTTTTAAAATAGTAAATTGTAATAATATTAATTTTAATAAAACAATTTTTAAAGGTAAAGTCGTACAACATAACATTTTATTCACTAGTTTCAATAGTCTGCTGTAGTTTTAGTTTTTTTTGTATATTAGAGTGAATTGACCTATTATTTAACTTTTTGGTAAGAACATTATGTGTGCTTAAGCGTTAGAGATTTTTCAACATTTTAATTTCCAAACGAGATATGAGCATTTTTAATTTGTAATATTTCACATACACATATATAGCTTGAAAATTAAAATATTGAAAATTCACTATTGAAACTAGTGAATGTTGTACGTCTAACTTTAAAAATTGTTTTATTATAATTAATATTATTACAATTTGTTATTTTAATAAATTTACATGATAGGTGTATAATACTCAGTTATGAGTTGTGTCACTATTCATTCAGCGGGTGATAAACTCAAAAATTATTATTTCAGTCACGAATAGTGATGTAGGTCTAAATGTTTTCAATCATATTTTGTTAATAGCATAAATAATAATACATCAACCTAGCATATTTAAAAAAAATGTAATATCATATTTCTATCAAAACAACATACATTTTTAATAAAAATTTGAATTGTAGTATCTTTTTAGGGTTCCGTACGGTAAAAGGGACCCTATTACTGAGGCTCCGCTGTCCGTCCGTCTGTCATCAGGCTATATCTCATGAACCACGAAAGCTAGAAAGTTGAAATGTTCTCAGATTATGTATTTCTGTTGCCGCTATAACAACAAATACTAAAAATCCTAGAATATATAATATAAGCAGTGTTGTCAACATGTTTATAGCCGGTGATGATACGGAACCCTTTGTGCACGAGTCCAACTCTCACTTGGCTGGTTTTTTTAAAACCTTATATAGCTGATTACCAATAGTTGTCACTATTCTTTCATTATTTCAGTAGTGCAAAATATTGATATAATTTACAAGAAAATAAGTAAAAAAAAAATATCAATAATGAGATTATGTTTAAATAGGTATCTATTTATCCTCTAACACTTTAAATTATTTATTTTGTGGTGAACATGATGTATAAGTTATCAATTTTCTAGCTCCTAACTCACACAAACCTTACGCAATTAATAAATGTATATTTTTTTACAGGACTTACAGTACCCCTAATAACCACAGACTCTGGGGATAAGTATGGTAAATCGGCTCAAAATGCTATATGGCTGAACTCAGATCGAACATCACCTTTTGAACTATACCAGTTTATGATACGCACAGTAGATGCTGATGTAGAAAAATTGTTAAAAATGTTTACATTCCTTTCACTACCTGAAATAGCTGAACTGATGAGAAGACACAAAGTAAATAATAATAAAACATCAAAAGAATGATCACTTTTTATTTTTTTGTCTAGGCTACTCCTGATAAACGAATTCCTCATGAATCATTGGCACGTCAAGTTACCACTTTGGTGCACGGAGGTATAGATTATAGTGTATATATTTTTAACTATTGTGTACTGATTAGTGATTATTATGTCTACGTTTTTAGAAGAGGGTCTTCAAGAAGCATTAGTAGCAACATCGGCATTATATGACAACAGCATTGAGACCCTTAGTACATTGAGTGTTAATGATATTTTAAAAATATTTAATGGTGCAACTGTTGTTGAACTAATGCTTGAACCTGGTATCACTGTACTGAAAATGGCAATGAATGCAAAATGTTTTTTGACCGATAGTAATATTCTTAATTTATTGTTTTAGTTTAATATTAATAGAAAATTAATAATTATAATATATTATGTTTTTATCTTCAGGGGATGCATATCGAATAATTTCAGCTGGTGGATTTTATATTAACCATCAAAGAATAACCAATATAGATGAAATTGTAACTTTGTCCATACACATTTTACCTAATAATATTTCTTTAGTGAGAGTTGGTTAGTAAAAATATTTATAAAAAGTTACCTTTAGTTTATTCTTTTAAGTCCAAAAAATCATGAGGTGAAACATAAATGCACAATATAAAATACTGAAAATAATGTCGTCTAGTATAAATATCATGATACATTGTAGTATCCGGTCTATCATGTTCTCAAAAAAAATTAAATTTTAAAATTTTATTAATGAAACAGTATTTACCAATATGTTCAACCACGTTGATTTCTTAAGGCCCCTTCACAGCTCCCCGTGAAACGTGATATATTCTAGAACTGTGATTGGTTGAACCATGTGGTTATCTAATGGTTAACCATCATTTTTTTTCTTAATACCTTATCTATACCGCTTATATCGTATAGTTGAGTTCAATCCTACTCAGAGCGTGTGTTTACCGTATGGTTGACAGTCGTGGTTAAGAATATTTTTACGGGAACAAATTATATATTATCACGTTTCACGGTGAGCTGTGAAGGCGCCTTTAGACTACCATAAAATTACTTCAGTATTAATGTTTTAACTATTTTACCAATTTTAGGTAAACGGAACTATTGGATTGTCAAGTGGATAATGTAAATGAGAAGTATAGATCAAAATTACTGAGAAAAAAATTGAAGTTACTAGATAATAAAAATGCATTTTTGAAAAACATAAATAAATTGTTTATTTCAAAGTCCTTTCTCATAATATTAAGATCTTTTAAGTCTTGCGGTATAAATAAATATATTAATAAATAAAAAAATTATAATCAAGTTGTAAAAACATTTTAGTTACTTGGAAAATAACTTAAACCGCATATTAGACATAATCTGCATCCATAAAATTGGAACACAGTAGATACAGTCTTGTTCCAAGCAATTATAGTAAGTAAATAACAATATTTCACAATAATTACAATTTTAAACAATTTGTTTGGAAATAAATATAATTACAAACATTTTCGTATCCCACAGTAAAATGATAAAAAATCAGCTTTTAGTTGATTTTTTTTAACTTTGTTTTTGCTTTACTTAATAAGACATTAACATTGCAATTGGAAACACAAGGTATTCTAGTATGTTATGCTTGTATGTCAAAAGAGTAAAAGATTTATTAATTTAAAACTCAACACATGAAAGTGTTTGAATGAAAAAAATTAAATCTTATGGCATATTTAATTCATAATGAGAAAATATTTCATATTAGGGTACACAATTGATAAGTAATATTATCATGTTTTACCAAATATATGATTCTTTATAAATTAAAGGTTGAAAATGTAATCAACTGCTATTGATTTGAAAATATTCATTGATTAGGTTTTAGAATGATAAATATTTGTTGACTGGTAACATTTTGGTCATTCATTAAGTGATTTATATAAACGAAAATTAAATTTCCATAACATAAATATATTGGCTTTGGATGAAATATATGCTGCATTTGATTTAAAACATTAGATGGCTGTTATTTCTTGTTGGTGTAAATCTTGAGGTGAGCCAACTTTGTCAACACACTTCCATAGGCCATATGTCTTTCCAATGGTTGTCTGCCACAAACGCAAAGTTCCGTCTTCAGAGCCGGAAGCATATAGCTCACCGTCAGGTGAGAAGCGGACACAGTGTACTGGCCCAAAATGACCTTTGAAAGATTCTGAAAGTAAAATTAATCATACATATAATAATACACTTAGTTGGCGTTCAAAATCATCACACTTACCAATTTCTTTTCCGGTGTTATAATCAAATTTATACATCTTAAGATCTTCCCCCCCACACACAAACATAGTTTTGTCTCTGTGCAACGATGCAGTATTAACGAGTGTTGGCACAGTGACTTCATTGACTTTTGACAAACTGTAAATTACCATAAATATTAAACTTAACGCTATAAAAATATAAATACTGGCAGTGGCGCAACTAGAACTTATGGTGCCCTAGTAACAAAAATTACTTGGTTCCCTACAATATATTATTTTCTTTATATATTTATATTTTATAGTATAGATAAAAAATATATATATACATATAAATTATACAAATTATAACATGGGTAGGTAGGTTCTTTAATTCATAAAAAAAAAATTAATACATGTACATTGTACATGTTATCAAAAGGTGGGTAAGTGGATGTCGCTCTGCTGTACTGTAGGTTACAAGTGGGTCACTGTATAATGGATGGTATTAAATTTGAATGCAATGATATAATATCATTGTATAAGAAAAACGATTCTGAGCGGAGACGGTATGTCAGTCTAGGTATAAGACATATTATATACTTTTCTATGGAATTATATTAAAAATTAATAAAATTAAATATGCACAGTCTTATCATGACTCATGAGCATAATTCTTATTCCTTATACTATGGTAGATTGTATGTAATATTTTGATTTTTCAGTTTCATATATCCCCGACTAATATTTTTAAATTACAACAAAAACAAAGATCGTTAATATTGATTTTAATATGTAATTTCGTCCAAATTTGAATTTAAAATGTCTGTAAAAAATAACTGTGTTCATATATTTTTTAGATTTTTTGGTTACAGTATAAACTATTTATGAGAACCTTTTTTTAAATTTGCAATCTTCAGCTATAAAAACTGAACATTTTATAATTTATTAATTACAATGATTGATAATTTTCGAGATTTATAACTAATTGAATGTTCCACGGAAAGAAAAATCTATTTTCGTAATTTTTACAAGAAATACCTTCATTCATCTTTATTACCACAATAATATCTTTATTCAAATCTTGATAATTTATGTTATAATAAAATAAATATCAAAAACACAGTCATCAGATGGTGCCCCCTAAAATGTCAGCTGCCCTGGTGCCCTGGTGTAAGTACCACCCAACACCCCCGCTTGTTGCGCCAGTGAATACTGGAATAATTGTTACCTCTCAGCGTTCCAAAAACTGACACAATTTCCATGTGCAATTGTCACAATAGATTCGTCTCTGGACACTTCTAAACTGGTTGGTATAGCACTGAATTCCATCTTGTGAATTTCCTAAATAAAATAATAAATATAGATATTTTAATAAAGTGGTACAAGATTTAAAAATCATTTTAACCCACTTTTCCAGACAGGGGATCCCAAATTCTAACTGTCTTGTCATCAGCACACGAAATTAACCTCCTATCATTTTGAAAGAACATGACATGTTTTATACCAGATGTATGTCCATTGAATGTAGTAACAGCTTCTATAAATTATAAATCATTAAATCATATATTAAAGAGTATGTTTGTTAAAAAATTTAAAATTTTTTTAATGATTTACATAGTTTACTATATAAAAATATTTAACTATTATACAAAATATATTTTACCCGTGGGATGTTAATACTTATTCAAATTGTATTGTTATTAGAAAACCTTTTTTTTAGATACTGATAGTTAGGTCTATGAATTAAATAAATTCAAAATATTTATAAAATCCCCAAATATGTATGTATTTGTAAAAAATTTTAAAAGTATAATTTAAAAATCTTAAAAATTAAAACAAACATTTTTATGCCATCAAATTAAAAAAAAATTAAAAAAGTTTATAAAAATGATTGTTGGTAAACAATAAATAAAAATTATAACAATAATTAAATAAATGTTAGAGTGTTGGAGTCTAAATAAGAGACAACGACTCAGGCCATTTACAACATACAGAAAAAACAAAATCAAACCATTTCTCAATGATTAAAAATTATTCAACAGAAAATAACAATAACATATAGATTTTTATAATTTATTGTATTCTGGCAGAGTGATGAATGTATTAATTTTATAACAATGTTTTTTTTTTGTTTATTTTTTTTAAGTCACCACATTTTGGATAAGTAAAAATGAACTAATGTTTGAGAGTAATCTTTTTTTGCAAATTGGATTTAGTTAGTACTTTAGGGTGGTCAAAATTAAAAAATGTTAAATATGTTACAAAAAATAATAGAGGAAAATTAAAAAAAAATGCTGTAATTTAAAAAGAAAAATGTGTTTTATTACTAAATACTTATATTGACTTTCTTAGGTATGATATAGTTTTCAAAATATTCAGCTCTTTTTGTGCTATCTATAGACATTGGAAATTGTTGACTTTTTATTTTTGGTCAGTTAAAAAACTTAAGAATTTAAAACTAGGTTCCTTTTTAGTTATTATTATAGCTTTTTAAAAATACTAAAGATGTGTAGGCACAATTTTTTGTTTTTTACACGGTTTTATTAGTTGTGAGCAATTTTCTTGTTGGATACGATTTTGTACTTAAATTGTGTATACTCCGACACCCTTTACTGAAAATAATTATAAATGTTATTGACCGACTTCAAAAGTAAAATTAATCATAAAGTCCAAAAAATTACCTCAACAATAATGTGCTCATAATAGTACATTGCACCCATAAGTGTTGTCTCCGTCCTACATACGTACAACATACACAAAACGCGTTAACGCAGTCTGAGTAGAACTAGCTCAATTTTGGTTCTAGAGTAAAAATACCTATTTTAAAATGAAAATATTCCGAAGAGAAACGTCTTTTTCATTATTCCGAATATAAAACTCAATATATTGTTTAGAAATGACGACTATTTCAATATTTTTAAACGACCTGTAACTTTTATAAAATATTTTATATTTGAAAAACCCACCGTGAAATATTTTTATGTTTCAATTTTATAATAGATATTTTTATTCTACCAAAATTGAGCAAATTCTACTCAGACAGAGTAAATGCGTTTGTCTGTCGTACGCGTGTGAGACGGAGACACACGGGTGCACAATATCCTTTTAAGCCAATTATTTTACAATTACTATTTTTCTGTCTGTGTGAATATATAGGCATTGTAAGAATTTAATGTAACATTATATCTCATAACTCAACAAGTTATTTAAAGGAAATCGTATTTTATTACCAGAAAATGGCAGAAATTCAAACATTTTGAAGATTTAAAAAATTATCAAAACAAACAGATTAACCAGTTCCTATGTCAAGTAAGATTTTAATTTATAATGAGTGTTTTTTAAAAACCTAATTAACTACAAATAGTTGAAAACTTGTTGCATATAATATGTAGTATAAAACTATATAACAGCTTAAAACTGTACTATACCCATATTTTAAATTTGAATAGAAGGTTATCATACTCCAATAATATTTAAAAATGTAAGTCAATAGTTAAAAACCACAAGATAATAGTAAATAATATGCTGTGCAGAATGGGGTTTGAAAAGTGTTAACAATTACTTTCAAATGTAATATGAAGTTACAAACTAATCTATGTAAAATGTTTATATTTATTTTTCAAAAAAAAAAAATGCGTATTCAAAAATTCAAAACAACTTATTTTTAATGAGTAAAAAAAAATGGTTTAGGGAAGAGAAATATAACAATTGCCTCAAACCCTGTATATAATTGCTCCTATTTTCATAATACTATTATATTTAGGTTGGGGTGGGATATAAAAACAGTTTGCTATTATAAAATAATCCAAGGCCAATAGGCCAGTGACAGATCGACCATGTAAAGTTTATTGGCTTGAGCTACTGTTACGAACATTAGAAGTGGAGGGCCTTGAATAAAAATCATATACACAGATAATAGTGTTGTTTAAATGCATGAGAAAACAGTTCCTGATAAGACTGGATAGTACTATGTTAGAAAAAATAACAAAGGTATAATATTGTCACTAAAACTCATATGCCCATATATAATTTGTTCAGCTGTAATAAAAAATGTCCATTAAAACATAACTTTTCCTGTATAGAATACTAACCAGCTGATTTGTTGAGATCAAATATTCTGAGCAATTTTTCATTGGAGCCAGTTGCAAGGAAAACGCTGTCTCTTGAGAAATTTACACTTTTTACAATGTGTTTATGTTGAAAAGATTGTACTTCACCACCAGTTTTTGCATCCCAAATCTGAAAATTAAAAATATATTAATTGCAAAATATACAAATATTATGTACTTATAAAATATTAGGCAATTTAATTAATTTTGGAACACAACCAAACCCAATATAAGTATACTTAGTTTTTATAAAATGCATTTAATAGTTATTAATTATTATTTACACAATTACATAATTAGTTTTTACATTTACAAATAATTTAAATATTTGTCCTTTATTAAGAACATTGAACACTTTTGGTTACCACCTAAGATATAATATTTATTATTATTAAAAATGATCAATTATATATAATTAATGATTACAAAATTGTGTTTTTAAAGATAACAGATAAAGATATGAGGATAAAAAAAAATATGGTTGATACTTATTCTTTTTCAAACAATTTAAGTCAATGTAGTTCTGTCAATAATTACTTAAGTTTAAAGAAGAACAATTTTTTTAATTGCATTTATAATGTTTAGTTACTGGGGTATCACTGATTTCAACTAAAAATATTTAAACAAACTAGTAATTTAAAATCAAATTGTTTTATATGCATGGTATTATTTTGAAAAGATTTTATTTGTGGTTAATACTTAATTTAGATTTTAATTGCAATATTTTTTAAATATTAGTAAAATGATACTTAACCCATTAGCGCCGTGCGTTGCCATATGGCAACATAGGTAGACCTATTTTTAGAAGCTAATTTCTCATTGGGAATTTGACCAATAAAAAAATTTTAAAAAATAAAAAAAAAAATTTCGGCGCTAATGGGTTAATTAACAATTATTATATAAAACAATACAATTAATAAACAATAACACAATACATATAACCCTAACTACTAAAATATAAAAGATAAACTGATTTTATTTTTAATTTATTTGAGTTATTTTCATTTCATTGTGATTTGGGAAATGAGGTGTAAATAATATACCGGAATATGATAATCAAATAAAAATTTTCAATTTTTAAACAATAAATTAAATAGAAAAAAATATAGAAAAATATTAAGATTAATAAATAATAAATACAAATATCTACGCTTTTTATCCACATTTAAATAGGACTAAAGAACTTGGCAATCTAAAAGAAGATAATATAATGCTACATAGGGTCATAGCATATTATGAACTGTATAATCAGGTGATTTATTTTCAGTTACTCTTTTACAAACAAATCAGACTTTTAGATTCAAATCAAAGAGGAATGAACTGGCTTTATAATGGTTTGAAAAAAAAAAATTGCGTACACTTCATTTTATGATTTAAATAATCAAATTAAGTTGGTGTACCATACAAATCTTTTTTATGAATTCAAAACTTAAGAAAAATATACAATAATCAAAGAAATGCATTCCAGTTTTTAATTTTAAACTTCTCCAAAAATTAAAATATTTCATTTCCTTTAATAGTATGCATTTTTTAGGATTTAGGGGGATAAAATAAAATTTTTTAGAATTTGGATCTCAAGTAGACATGACTACCAATTAAAATCTTTTTTTACAATTCTTATCCCTTCACTAGATCAATCGGTATATTGGAATTAAAACAAGTCTAAATTCCTATGTTCCATGTGTGTTAAACAAAGTCAGAAAATCACCGCTTCCAATCTCCTAATAATAATAATAAAAAAATTGTTTGGTATAAGTCAGTTAATCCCAACATGGGCAGTACCACCCCCTTGTTGGCATTTTTAATTATATTAGTTTGAGAATTTAGTATATAAAAATCCGGGTGTGGGAGGGGGTGTATGTGTAAATAATGTTTACCTTTAGTTATGTGATGCCTAGGATATTTAAATTATTTCATCACTTAGAGCTTTCTATATAATATGTTAATATCGTATATTTAAAAATATCTTTAAGTCCATGTATACATTTGATAAAAGTATAAAAAATTTATTTTAAGTAAATTTAATCTATCTTAAAATTACATAATAAATTATTTTTTCATTGTAAATTAAAGTGATTTGATAATAAAAAATAATATAAAATCGAATCAAGGTTTAGCTTCTGTTTATCAAAAACCTGAATTTATTATTAGCTGTTTACTGTTATATAAATTATTTAACTCATAAAATAATAAAAGAATTGTATGTTATTAAAATAAATAAAATTATATCCTGTTCTACAAACATTTATCCTTGATGAATATGAAATATCATGCACGAAAAGACTACTAATATAAAATTATAATGATCTAAAACAACACTGATTTTATATATACATTAATTTTTTCTTATATAATATAGTAAAACTTTTTAAATTTCTAAAAAAAAAATCATTTCAATATAATAGTTTATAAATGCCACACAAATTATTGAAATTTAATTTAGTAGCTATAAAAGAATTATTTTAATTTAATTTTTTCTTATTAACCCAAATTAGAAAATGTTATTGATGTTATTTGAAATACATTTCCAACATATATTTTTGATGTAACAAGCATTATGTTTATTGAAGTAGAAAACATAATGAAACAGAATAAATATGATGCTAAACTTCAAATTCAAAATTATTCATGTTTAATGTTACTATGCTTTATAGTCTACTTTATATTATTATATAATAAAATAACTACCTCCTCCCCAGAAAAAAATGAATTAAAAACCATAAACCAACGTAAGTATCAGAAAAGCTGCTTTAAATTATAGTAATTTCTGCTGTTTAATAATAAAATCCTAACTTTCATCAGCAAGTTCCAAAGAAGAGCCATTATTATTATTAGCTACAATTTATAAGTAATATAAAATAGTAAAAGATGTATTAAAAATATAATAAATTATACAAGAAAAAGAGATGCATATTATTTTTTGAAATACATTTTATGCTATTACCTATTATATTATATTATATTATATATTATTTACATATTTATACATATTTTTATTTTCATGTTAACTCTAATCACATGTAACTAAATCATTTTTGTTAGTCTTACTTTTAGATAATGTTTTTAATTTTCAAATTTCATTTGTCAAACTCATAAACATTGATTTTATGAAATTTAAATTAAGGGCATACTATAATTTGGTATTGTGGCATATACTCTTATTTTGTTTAAATACACTATAAAACATGCAATTTTTATGTTTGTAGTTAACATATGGTATACCTATGCAATGTAAAAATTAGATTATGTGTAACAATATGAGGGAATTTGTCAAGGAATTTGTGGATACAACTAACCAAATTTTTAAAAGGATATGTCAAAAAGACATACTTTGCATATAAATCCAAGCCCAAATTATTTCATACAACAAAAATTGTTTTTAATAGGTATTTTATTTCAAAAAAATACAAAATGCAAAAAGTTATTAAATTTAATATATTCAATGAAATGTTGTCCGCTATTCAGAGGGATTCAATTTGTAGTGGAAGTAATTGTATGGAATGAAGTGTATTTCATATTTAAATTAAATATATATATTTGATGTAATAAGGATACATTTCTATTTTTAAAATACCAATCAATGGGAAGTTGTACACAATTATGCAATCCACAATATCATTCTAAATTTTTAAGAAATATATCAGAATAAAAAATGAAAAAGTCTCTTATTTTGCAGTTTACTTAAAGAAAAATAGTTAAAATATCTGTTCCAAAAAAAAAAACAACTGCTGTGTCTGTTATAGAAAATTTCACAGTAATACAATTAAAGCCAAACGTTCTAACCTATTGTTTGAAAAAAATTTTGCAATAGTCCTTATTCTGTATAAAATATTCAAAAATTGTTGTTTCATTTCTACTATTTTCAGGACTAAGTCTTTCAGGAATTTGGACTTGTGTCATGTTATCACAATATCAGATATGATATTTGTAAGTGCTTTTAAATAATTCTTATATATATTTTTACATATATATTTACTGCTCAGAGACAACACAAATGCAAGTGATTTACTGACAAAAGCCTATTTTATGATGTAAATGTGCACGATAGAATTAAAACTACCTAGCTTACACCTTAATAGTGATATTCAATTAGTCTTTGTCTGTATTTGTCATCTACTTGTCGCGTGAGTTCTGGTTGGCCATGGAGGGATATAAGTATACCAACACTCTAATAATAACACTATATTATGAAAAAACCAACTTTAATTGATTCCTATTTCCTGGTATACTGCTGGTTTCAATAAGCAATGAAAGTTCAATCCTTATTAATGTTTTGTTTTTTAGTTTTAGAAAAATGTACTCAGTACAGGCACATAAACCTAGTATTTTATAGTATAACAGAAAAACATGGAAGTCTGTATTTTGATGATTTTAGGTGCTTTAAAACTTGGACTCTAGAAACCAATTAGGTAAATGTTATGATATAAATTCAACTGTTTTTATTTTTATATATAAATGAAATAATAAAGTAGTTGATTAAATAATATTAACTTGTTGTAATATTATACAAATAGGTAGTAAAGGTCACTAACTGTAAATACAGAAATGACTAGAGAAAAGTTACAGAAAAGCGCAATTTAACTATTTTCATAATTTTATATTTAAAAAAATATTCCTTCAGTCATAGAACCAAATAGGACTTAACAAATATACAGGGAAAGTTAAATTAACATGTGCTAGTGAGCCCACTTTGAAAATGAATATATATTTTTTTACATAATAAGTTTGATACTTAAATAAGCTTCATAATTAATCTAAAAAAAATAATTAATACTTAATAGGCAATATAAGTAAAAGGTTTTTCTTTGTTTATTTAACAATACTAAAAGAAAAAAATATCCTAAGTATCTCAATATTTCAAAAAATAAAATTCAATATCGAGGGCTTATATTATTAGTATTCATATTAAGAACATCACAATTTTAAAATAAAATACAGTAAATCCAAAAAAGTGAGATTTAGTCAAAAAACTTTTGACCTAAAGACCATACTTGGGTAATAGTTTTGAAAACAACATTTTTTTGACAAACTGTTATAAATATTCAAAATATTTAATTTTTATATCATATTTGTAATAGCATTATACACACTTATTATATGTATTTTATCCTTTATTTTATTTTTATTAATCTCATTTTGTAACATTTTCACTATTTTTTTTTTTTTGATTTCATTTATTTATAATAGGTACCTACTTTTTATTATTTCATCACTCACTACCTTAGAGGGATACTGAATAATTTATAAAGCTTGAAATCAAAAATTATGTTAACTTTTTGACGAGCAATGACATGTTATTTGCCATGGGGAGCATTAACAGATATACCTACATATTTTTACTGACAGTTTTTTTTTTTTTAAATTTCTAATTTGCTTTCTGAGCAGCATTTGTTTGGTTTTAATTTACTCATTATAAATTACACTAAAAATTAAACTATTATTTTTATTCTATTATTGTAATTTTTAAAACATTTTGAGCTTTTACTTTTTAGGTATGTTTTTTATGTACTTTACTGGTTTTGTCCTATCTACTATCATTATCTAGTAGTGAATTTTGTATTTTATAAGAGCTACAATGTGAACAACCTGTCCTGCCTGCTGAGCATTTACCATGTGGAGGAAACCAACCATGTATTATATGGAAGACATTAAATAGTTCAAGAGCAGAAGCTTAAAAAAAAGTGAGCATGATGAAATGGGGATACCAGAAAGACCTGGACATACCATGCAAATTTGGCGGAGACCAATCAGATGACCACTTAATACAGTGAGCAATAGCCCCTCTAGGATGCACAACCCACGACTTGGCTATTGCCAACAAAAATGCAATATCAATTGTCACTTGCTGGCTAAAACAAAATATCTAAACATTTATTTTATAATCTATATTTTAACCTACTTAATTTTTAGATTACGTTATGTATTTATTAATTTAATAGCATATAGGCCCAACATTGGATATGATAAGAAGAATAAGAAGTGAATTTTGGGTACTTATGTAAGATAACTATTAACTACTAGTAAATTAATAAAGGGTAATTATAAGGACACTATGTATCTAGATATGTGTCTATGTTTAAGCGGCCTAAACAAGTCAGTTTTCAAGACAGGGTTCTCGGAGTTTCATATGAAAAAGGGCAGGGAGATACCGTAATTTTTATTGATTAGTAAGTGCATTCAATAATCTTCGTTAGGTATTTATTAAATTGTATACCTACTTAAGGGACATAATCATTATCTATTGCAAATTGCAATCTACATAATTAATATGTACCCTCCATGTATATTTATCCGATTGGATTAAAATATAACCTTTAGGAATATTTTTATGTGTAAACTTATATCAGTTTTGTATTGAATTAATGATACTACATTATTTTTCAATTATAAATTGAGAACTTAAAATTACATAATCAATATAAACTACCTATATATTAAAAAAGATACTGATTCTAAATAATGTTTTGCCCTATACCTACCACATTTTAGTCCAAGTAAACTATAATATATACATTATTCAATACGGTTGCACTAATGTTTTATTATTTATTTGTCAGATGTTTTCAAATGTTTGATTATACTGATGTATACATTTTATATGAATATGATTTAAGTACAAATATAATTATTCTTAAGATCTGAATAATTAAATATATTTTAATTTAAAAATAAATTAATTGATTTTTGTTTAGAACTATCATTATTTTAAACAAATAATGAAACAATGTCCATATACAAACATGTACAATGATCTAGCCATCTAGGAAGCAAATAAACAATAACACACGAGGAAGTTAAACTCAAGGCTGAAACTAGTTATTTATTTCATTAAAAATAGTATTCATACCTTAGCTTCAAAATCTGCAGCACCACTTGCAGCTACTGTCGCTTCTTTGTTCAAGGCTACCCCCCAAACGGCACCTTTGTGGCCTTCAAACGTACCAATCCAATCACCAGTATCTCCTTGTCTCAACATGGGTTTTCCATCTGCACCAATGATAAAAACAAATTAATAAACAAATCACGCACACGGCACCAAAGGAATTTATATATTACCTTTGCACGCAGATATTAAAAAATATCCATAGTCGGTGTTGTCGCTGAAATCCAAGTGTACGACGGGTCTGGTGTGTCCGCTGCAAGTTAATGGCGTTTGCTTAAAACTCGACATTTTTCACTTAAAATATAGACAGTTAAATACAATAATAATTTCCGATGTGTATGTGTGTATAGGACTTTCAATTAAATCGAAAGAACTTTGTAAATTAAATAAAAAACTTTACTGGAGGATACATGAATGGCAACACGTTACACGAACGCTACGCTAAGTCGCAAACGAGTTACTGAAGTTGTAAATAAATGTAAAAAACAGGTTGATAAAAGATTGTGTCTTACAGTGTACCCGGATTAGTAAAACGGAATTCCCCTACCATCACCTTCAAATACAGTGTGTACAAGATTAAAAACTGAATCTAATAATTTTAAAATAAGTGTATAAATTGTAAAAAATTCCAGTAATAAGTAATAACTACATAAATATATTAAATTTTAATTTTTATAGATCATAGGGGGTGGCAAAGGGGGAATTACTCTCCTTCACAATAGCCGTAGTTTCCCTGTTTTACACTGTGTATCTATATTTTTAAAAAAAATGCAATAATTATAATTACCTACCAAGTCATTATACCTATATAAAAAATATGCAATAAATACAAAGACAATATACATAATATTTTATAACGATTTCTCAGTTTAATTAGGTAAGTATTAACTAGGTCAGGCATGTATAGCCAGAAAATTTCTATTAGGGGGCCAACAATTTCGGGCCCTTGCGTTATTTCCCATAATTTGTTTTCTATGAGAAACTTGTAGAGCCTGTAGAGGGCTCATATTATAGGTACTGCCCCAGAATTTTAGGCAGTATTCCATAGGTACTAAGGGCCGATTTCACCAAATACTTTAAACTTCGATTACTCTTAATCGACTGATAAGTGATAACAGATATTTAACCGGGCAAATTCGGCCGATTAAACGGTACCGCAAAAAAATAACCCCGGAAAAAATATCCCCGGAATTTTAGACCCCGAAAAAAAGAACCTCGAAAAAATAACCCCGTGAAAAAATAACCCCGTGAAAAAATAACCACGGGAAAAAACCCCATATGAGATTTTGAAAATTAATCTAAATATTGGTGTTAATATGTCATTGTGTAAAAAAAATTACAAAATGTATAACATACCTTACGTACAATTGTTATGTTTCCACAAATAACGTTAATTTTGGATTCAATGATAAATTATTTATTACCTACGATAAAAACGATTCAGAGCACGGTGCCAGTATGTCAGACGTCTGTCATATCGATCAGATATATAATAACAAGGTACAGCGACGGATAAGAAAGGTACCTTTCTTCGAGATTTTGATAAATTTTGTCAAAATTTGATCTTTAAATGCTTATAAAAAAAAACTGTGCCTAAGGATTTTTAATATTTTTCATCTGCCTTTGAAACAATATATTAGGAGCCTTCTATTAAATTTTCAAGCTTTTGCAACCAACAAATAAAATTTTATTGATATTTTTAGAAAAAAAACTAAAAAAAAATGGAAAATGAAAATGTCCCTAAACAGTTCAAAATAAATCAAAATATTTTGAAAATGTTATCGTGTATAGAAAATGCAAATATAAACAACCAGTGAAAATTTCATGTATATACGTTCATTTGTTTTAGAGTTACACCAATAACCAAAATCGATTTTTTGGAAAACCAATTTTGCGTAAAAATTCCCGTTTTTCCTTAATTTTTATGTTGTTTTTTCCCGGCGCTTGTGAAAACTACTGGAAAATTTATACTTTTGACCCCCCAAAGTACCAACTAGATTCACTTTCCTGACGTGATGACAGACACAAAAAAAAATAAAAAAATAAAAAAATATAAAAAAATATAAAAACACACATCATTGTAAAACCAATACATTCATCGCTCCGCTCAGAATCTAAAATTAAATTATACTATCCACATAATATATTAATTATTAATATAATCATAATTGTATTGTAGGTGAATGGAGTATTTATGAAAATGAAACGTTTTTATTATTTGATAACCATAGTGAAGAAAATGAAAGGGTCATCATTTTTGGATCTAGAAGTAACTTTAAACTTAGTTATTTTGGTTATTTTTTCCGGGGTTATTTTTTCTGGGGTTATTTATTAGGCAAATCCGATTAAACACCGGTTTAGCTTTAATCGAAGTTTAAAGTAGTGGTGAAAGCGGCCCTAAGAATCTTAATAATTTAAAACTTACCTTTGGGCTTTGGTAGGTTAAAAAAATAACTTTTATATCCAAATACCAATCAAAAAAAGTCGCTCTGCTGTACAGAAGGTGCTGAACATTTTCTGTTTCCAATTTTAATAATTTTATAAGTCTTTTTTTCTATGAATGTCAATAAAACTTTTGTTGGGTAAAAAAACTTGAAAATTAAATACAAGGCTCTTAATATATTGTTACAATGAAATTTGAAAAATATTAAAAATACTTAGTCACAGTTTTTATTTGTAAGCATTCAAAGTTCAAATCTTTACAATAAATACCGAAAAATCACAAAAATTAACAAATTATTTTGAGTTGAGAATTCGAAAAACTTTTTCCTTTTAAATTTAAGATTTAAATACAAGATTCCTCATAAGTTTTTCTTCCTTTAACAAAAAAAAAAAAAAATGTCTACAAGCAAAACAAATTAAACTTTTATGAGCATTTGAAATTCACATTTTTACAATACTGTAGGTATATTCAATAGCAGTTTTGTTATTTTATTGTTATTCAAAAACGAATAACTGTAGATACATGAAAATTGTATTGAATGTTTATATTTTAATTTTCTATACTTACACCATAAAATGTTGACTCTTTTTTAGGCTGTTTACTGACATTATCAGTTTTCAATTTTTCTAGTTTTTTTTTTCTAGACATATTGCTGGGTAAAAAAGAGTAAAAATTTAATGCAAGGCTCCTGATATATTGTTATAAAGTTGAAGTAGAAGGCATTAAGTATTTAGTATTTAGTGTTTAGACTTTAGGCTGACTGACCGTTTTCGCTCAGAGTCGTTTTTCTTATACAATGATATTATATCATCGAATTCAAATTTAACACCATCCATTATAGTGACCCATTTGTAACCTACTGTACAGCAAAGCGACATCCACTTACCCACTTTTCGAATTGTTTAGTTGTATTTCTTAAATTATGAAAATTTTGTTAAGAACACAGATCATGATGATACATTATTTTAATTATTGTCAAAATGTATGACAACATAGATACATATGTAGGTAATCTATAAAAAAATTACAAAAATTAATAGTTATCACTTATCATTGATTGACGAAATGAGTAAATGCCACCAAATGGCCGTATAGACATGCAATGCAAAAAGTATAGGTACTTAAACAAATTCTTACCATAAAAAAAAAAAAATTATTTATACACCGGCGCCTGGTCGCCCCCCTAAATGTACAAATGTCCCCGTTGCCCCCTTAAATACGGCTCAGATCATTGTATAAGATAAATGATTCTAAGCAAAAATGGTCAGTTAGCCTATGATATAACGAAGTATATTTGATGATATTAAGGTGAATAAAGTAATTTATACAGTGTGTAAACTCTAATTGAGTCATTGAGAACACTCAATATCTTTGCGTAGAGCCTTGCAATTTGAATTCTGATTTCTTATTGGTTGTTTTGACATAGAAACCCAACTTTTTATAGCCTTTGAATTGTTTTAACTTAATCAGACTTGCGCATTCGCAGTACAACTTTTTTATCTTAAATGGCAACCACCTATATTAACCACTTATTATTTTTTGCCTAATTTTTTAATGCACTTCGGTGGTTTAATCAACTTTCTAAGTCCAAAATTGACTAAGTTACAGAAAATCAACTAAAATACTGCAAAATAAGCGAAATTTTTAGATTTTTTACTGTAAATCTGAAAATAATTATTCTAGAATTGTTTAGGCTTAACATTTTCACCACTAATTATTTAGATGATATTTATGTGATACATTAATAAATATGTTGTAATGAATCTGTTGAAAATTGAAATTTATTAATAGTTTAATGTATGCCGACCCTCCTATAAATCTTCCAAATTTAAAAGATATATAATAACAGCAACATGCAATCAACTGACTGAAGAATAAATTATTAATAAATTCCAAAAGATCCATTTATTTATGAATCACATAATTATTACCTAAATTATTTAGGGGTGAATATGTTAAGAATAAATAATTTTAGAATAATAATTTTCAGATTTACAGTAAAAAATCTAAAAATGTCACGTATTGATTGGCTGTAACTTGGTAAATTTTGGACTTCGGAAGTTGGTTAAACCACCAAGAGGCGTAAAATAATTAGTAGTTAAAATAGGTGGTTGCCACTTAAGAAAAAAAGTTGTACTGCGCATGCGCAAGTCTAATTAAGTTAAAAAAATTCAAAGGCTATAAAAAGGTGTATTTTTGTGTCATAACAATCAACAAGAAATCAGAATTCAAATTGCAGGGCTCTACTCAATGATACTGAGTGTTCTCAATTAGCGTTTACACACTGTATTATATAACCTATTTAATTTTTAACTACAAAATAATTATTCAATTTTAAATTTGATAAATTTAGTCAAAATTCGATCTTTAAATACTTATAAAAAAAATTGTGCCTATGTATTTTTTAATATTTTTCAACTGTGCTATTGTAACAATACATCAAGAGCTTCGCATTAAATTTTCAAGCTTTTTTACCCAACAAATAAGATTTTATTGATATTCATAGAAAAAAAAAGGTGGGTAAGTGGATGTCGCTCTGCTGTACAGTAGGTTACAAGTGGGTCACTGTATAATGGATGCTATTAAATTTGAATTCAATGATTCAATATCATTGTATAAGAAAAACGATTCTGAGCGAAGACGGTATATCAGTCTAGGTTTAAGACAAATTATATACATATCTATGGTATTAAAAAAAAAATTGACCTAAAATAAATTCCAAATTAATCATATCACAATATCCATTAGGTACTTATAACACGTTATACACCAACAACAAACCCTGATACTATCATATATATATATAATAGTACACTTTAGAAGTTTCAAGTAGGTACCCACGAAT